TGGAATTAATAAAAAATTAAATAAATCAAAACCTATAAAATGTTAGGTCCTAGATTGATAAGTTTTCATCATTCGGATCCTATACCGATAGGTTTCATCTTTCAGGTCCCGGATTGATAATTCATGTATCTTTCGGGTCCCAAATTGATAAAATTCCAAATTTAAATAATCACTGTTTTTTTAAATATTGGAATTAATAACCAAAGATCAACCATAAAATCAAAGTAATATCAACCATTCAACCCCTCTCAATAGTTCAATAATCAGACCTAGACTCTGTCACACAATGACACAAATTGACTTATGCAAGTCACTAAACGTGTAAAACATAAAAGTAAGCTTGTTTTGATAATGACTAATCGTATAACGCCTTGCTTGGTTTCACTGGCTTGGAAATATGTTGGTGTGGCAGAACACCAGAACACCAAAATCCCTTGTTCCGAACTTTTAGGGAAAGAGAGTGCATCCATTAATCAAAATCTAATGGATTCTAAACATTGGAAATTAAAAGATGATGCACAAACTATGGAGTAAAGTTTGAAACATATGAGAGAAGGGTAGTGGAGGACCTAGGAGGTCTTGGGGCAAGTGTCTTCCCACCTCAAATTTTAGTATTAATATTATGATAAAAATTATTCCTCTACTGGGACAAAAAACCACTTCATCCGTCTTAAAAAATTTGTCAAATTGATTTTTCTTGATCAATGATAATCAATTCTGACCAAGAATATTTTTTGATATGAAATTAATTTGAATAAGAAAATTATAGAAATATTTTCCATCATTTGAATGGAGCCAAAGATCCACTATTTTTTGTCTTGGGAATATATGATGAAGTAAAGCAAAATGACTCACTAAACTACTGTTTGCGTTTCTCTGTTATGAAGCATAGTCAGTCCATGCAATTTTTGACGCGATTTTTACTATGGATCACCCAGAAACAGTCTCTATGTGCTTTAGTAAAAGGGTAAGACTGTGTACATCCGACCCCCCTTACCCCATCGTAGGTGGAAGCCTTTGCGGCACTAGGGTAATGATGATGATAATAATAATAATAATAATAATGAAAATTATAGAAATAATTACATATATATGACTAAAATAAAGATTGATTATAAAATTTTGACTAGTAACTAGAGTAGTAATGTAATCATAATAACTTATGTTCAATATTTAAACATAAGTTACCATGACACTACATTGTAGTAACTATTAGTCATATGTAGTATTTGTGTAATGTAAATAAGTTTTATCTTAGTAATATTTTTGAAAAAATCCAAAATTATACTAAAATGTTCCTTATTAAAAACGTTTTCACAATTTTTTTTATAAATTATATACAAATATAAAATAATTACATTGATAAAAGTTAGATATATTAAATCATAATATTAAATAAAGTTGTATTGAAGGAAAAAATAATAAACTTGAACTAGACTCCATTTTTAACATGATATTATTACATTTCCAACAAGCACCAACAATTTTTGTGACACAATGTGTGGCATTCGACCTGATATGAATTTAGAATTGAAATCCTAGCTATGTTTTAGTATGAATAATAACAAGAATGCTAATGCAAATTCTTTTTAGAAACCGGTATTGCTAGACACAATAGACCAGTGATATATCGACCCGATTTATTCCCATCCATGTGGCAGTATCCTTGTTTAAAAAAACTTCTGAGTCCGCCACTGGAGAAATGTATTAACATAGAATCCAAACAACAACCTCCTTCCGTCTTGTTTTACTTGTTCTATTTTTTTGGATTATCCCAAAATAAGTGTCACATTTTGTTTTTGAAAAACAATAAGTGGTCTACACCGTTTATAATACTCAAATCTCAACTACAACTTTTATTTCATCAACCACTTTATTAATAATCGTGTCAAATCAAAGTAGGACACATAGGCAAAAATACTATCAGAGAAGTGTCCTAGCATAGAATCCCAATGAGGGAATGGGCAAATGATTAAAGGCATATCTGCATGTGCAGATATGCCTTTAATGCCTTGAAAGGGGCAAAAATACAAAAATAGGGTTGAGCATATTATTTAAGGATGAAATAGTAGAAGTAATGAATGGTATAGAAAAACTGAAAAAGTAGTAGAGAAGATGGAAAAATATGAAAGAGAAAATAAAAAATAGAAAAAGAAAGAGTAATTAAGTTCTCCTATTTCAAATGAAAAACTTACATAAGAGGGAAAGTTTAACAAACTTTTAAATTTAAATACATCCAAAAAAGAAAAGTGTAGCAAACATTAAAATAAGAATGAATGGAGTATATATTTAAGAGCCAATTTAACCTTATCGATTTTAAAAAAATCAAAACATATTTAAAAATATTAAAAATAAATCAATGAATATACTCCGTATTTAGTATGGAGACTGAAAAATAAAAAATTTGAAAAACTTATTCATTGTTCAATGCTTCGTTTTAATATTTTTATATCTACGTAATATAGTCAACATAAAGTAAACATGTTAAAACAAATTTGAGAAACTAAAATACTAAAGCATCAATTTGTATTCAATGCTTCCTTTTACTTGAATAATATTAGACTTCGATATAAAATGTAAAAATAATGAAGAAGCATTGATCACAATATGGATTTTAAATTTTATTTTCCATTTTCCAAACTCAATATTTTCAATAATTTTTTAATTTTAATTTTTTATTTATTTCAAGTCAATAAGGGTAAATTTGCTCTTACATATAAATCTAAATGATATTTTTGCACCTTTCTAAACGTTAGGAATATATCTGCACCTTGAGGCAAACATAAAGGGTAAACTCATACTTTTCACAATCCGAATTGATGTAATTAATTTTTTAGTAAACTAACTCTTAAGGGGTAACAATAAAAGAAAATATGAGGGCCTATTTACTACTCATAGAAATATTTCATGTTTTCTCTGAAAACTGGAAAACCGGAGAAAAAGAAAACTGCAAAACATATTTACTATTTATTCTTCAAAATTGAAAATAGGGACATGTTTCCGATTTCCTTATTAAGTTAGAGAAATCAGTTTTTGGTGTTTTCCAAAATAGAAATACACAGCGCTACACTGCATTTTGTATTTGTTTCGTGTTCGGGCTTCCGGTTGAGGTAGCTTTTTTTAAACTACATATTTATTTGAGATCTATGCAACAATGTATTTCGAATAATATATTCTCTTTATTGAATTAGCAAAAATAATTTTCATGTTTTTAGTGTTTTATAACTTACTTTTAGTTCCTTGCAAAAAAAATAACTTACTTTTAGTCATCATAATTTTTCTCCAAAATAAATAAGTTTATAATACTAACTCTGATCCATAGTTTTGTAAAAAAAGTCTTACTTCAACGTACGTATATAATTAAACCTCTTATGCAAACCTTTTGTCTTGCTTCAAATGTTTTCAATTACGAGTACCTTATTTTGCATTATACAAGCCATATTAATTTTTTTAAGGTGTCAGATAATATTTGTCATTTTTTACACTTTTGGTTCTATCAGGTTTCAACTTTTCAATGTATATAGTTACTTTATTTTTTTTGAAAAATGAAATGGATAGCAAAGAAAATTTGGAAAACATATCATGTGTTCTGATTTGAAAAATGAAAAACGGGAAAATGATAACATAAAATGAAATAGAAAATTGGAGATATAACTAAACGAGCCCTGAGCATCTCACTGATTAAACTACGATCTACTATGAGATTGTAGTTGATTCGTTAAAATCCGGAACAATCAAACTCCCAAAATTACATTTTTTATCAGGTCAATATGATTGCTCACAATTCTCTTTAAACAGCCATAAGAATCCTCAATAATAACAATGTGACTTCATATTTCATTATTTTGTTGTAAATCGTACGTATCGGGTATCACATCTAGTTAATAAACCCTTTGTCCCTTTATATGTTCCATTTTATGTCAGTCTTATTTGTTAAGTTGGACCCAAGACATGCACTGAGATAGAGGAATTGATAGAATAACAAAATTAGGTAGACCATTAAACAAATAAAAAACATAGACTCATACAGATTAGACTTATTAGAGCAGTTTGGAGAAATTAAATCTCGACATGCGTAAAAACAAAGAAACTCCAAATGTATAAAATAAATGTTCAGATGCTAAAAACATTTAGTGTAGCTGTGTAGGGTTCATAAATCTCAACTACAGTTGAAAAATGGTATCTACTTGAATGACTACATATTAGGTAAAGTGGAGATGAAAGTAGAACTTGGGGAAAAAGTAAGCAGTTACATAAATGCAGTAGTTTTTGCTTGTACAAAAAGATATAGGGGATCTCATTGGTGATATTTAAGAAACCCAGTTCATGAACAACACAACTTCATACACATAGACATATGGAAGCTAATTTAACTCAAGAAGACATCATTCCCTGGTTTACTTCCCATTGGTATTAGATTCATTAACTCTGACTTCATATGTCGATTCATGATAGTCGGCCCCAAACTCTGTTGTGACTAAGACTGGGATGTAGTTGTTGTTGTAGTATTAGATTCATTAAGTTGCAAATTCCTAAGCCAATTCTTAACATACCATGATTGTTTGTTCCCAAAAAAAGTTCAACCTTTCTTTCAAAACTAAAGGCGAGCACCAGCAGCTCTTCTGGTGTATAAAATGTTAACCTAGATGCTCTTCTGAACTTGAAAAATTTCCTACTCACTTCCAAGTTCCAACAGCATGAATATTGCTCTTGGCTCTCGCTTTTGCACAGATCAATGAGCCATCAAATCTCTGGTAAGCCGTTCAAATTGACCGAAAAAACAAACAAATAAGGACCCGATTATGTTTAGACTACCTAGAGAGCTATGCTCCAAGCCTCCACGCCATGCTTCCCTCTAGTCAATTCGCTCCACTGTTAAAAAGTTTATAAAATGCATAATTTAATGTGTACGCATTAGTGAGCGTATGAATAAAATTTTATAGACACACACACACACACACACACATATATATATATATATACATTATGCATAGAGAGAATTAATATTGGTTCTTCAAGTAGTTCAAAATCTAATACAAATACATATACAATTAACCAATGTCATTTCAATCGCTCAACAATAGACTAATTCATTTCAAGCAGCACACCTATGAAAAGCAGTTCAAAACTTCAAATTGCATGCCTCGGGATCAACAATAAGTGTTGGACAATGAACAGTATGAGCATCTTTTGAGCGAGGCTCAAAAGATGCTTCACAAAGATATCACGCTCATTTGTATATACAAATGGAACTGTCTGTGATTTAACAAATCAGCCACGAGAAATTGAGGTGAGGTTTGTTTGCTCAGATCCGTAGTAGCTTCACTGTCATAGCACCCCAAGACAAATTCTTGAACCATCTTCTCATCCTCCAAATGAATTTGTCGCAGCTTTTTCTGGTAACAAAATTCATACGACCACCATCCCTCTTGCCTGATAAGGCATAAATCCTTGAGCACTTCAAGCAGCTCATCAGGTGTCTTTGGTATAATGTGTTTTTCAGACTCCAAGATCAAGCTTGATGGCGATCTTGCCCCTTCGTACAGGCATTGTTCCGAGAGTTTTCACCAAACAAGCAGTTTTTACTGCCTCGTTGGGGGGTGTGGAGAGTGGGCTCCCTTGTTAGCTTGACCTCTCTCCCGAACTAGACTTCTTCCGAGCATAGTCTTCAGACCCAGTTGCCAGTCCGAAATGGAACTTTCTGCAGTTGAAAAGCTCAAAACAAGGAGGCAGACGACCTAACGTGCATTGACTGAAGTTTTCTTCAGAACAGGAGTCCTTCCAAAATTGTTTGTCCATGCCGGTGCTCACCCTGTAGGTTGTTTATAGGTGGGCTCGGCTGTATAGCTTACTAGATCCCTGACTTGGGGGATGTCCCACATTATTCACGAAAGCCTAAGGTTGTTCCAGAGGTAATTTCAAAACAAATTCGCATTCCAAATCGAATTCAAATACATATTCGAGTACAGACACAACCAATACAAGACTAGCCGCAATTTAGAATGAAAAAGGAAACACAAAACAAGAATCACAAAATAACATCAGAAAGGAGCTTTCAGTTGTCCATGGGTATCCTACTCCTGGGAGAAGAATAATCTTTGTTATGTGAAAAACCAAATTCAAACAAGAGGCAAACCCATTCCGAAGAAGCAATATACATTCCAAAAGACAAACTAACGTAAGGCGAAGAAAGCAAGAGAAGAATCAATGGACCACACCTTAGAAGAATTAGAAGGAAGAGGAGGTTCCGAGATAGAGGAGAGGAGGGGAAGGAGGAGATAATAGGAGGGGAAGGAGAGATAATAACAAAATATCTGCGTACATTGCTAGAAATAAGAATGTGCAGAAACATGCAAAAAAGGTAATTGCAATTAGAATCTCGAATTAGTAAAATCATTAGACCTGAGGACTATATAGTGTTCAACTCGCATATACTTGAGAGAGATATGATTATTATCATTCTATTTATGTGCAAGTTCAAAGTTGCTAACTACTTCGGGCATTACATTTCCGCTGCAACCACATTACTGTACAAATCTGTGCTATAGACACCAGACCTCTACGACCCTAACATCCTTAACTTCGTACAAGATAATTGTTTGGATAACTTTGTATTTTTGTTTCATGTAATTTAACAGAGAAACAATTAATATAGAAAAACAGAAAAAAACTAACTTAGAAAGACAGAATCTATTGGTACGTAAGAAAATTAAAAATGTATGCCATGTATTTTATATGTATACGTATTAGCACACACTGTAGTGTAGTCGTGTAGATTACTAATTACGGAGTACTACATCAATAAATATGTACTTCGTATCACATATACTTGTATATATATGTGTGCACAGAGACACACTTATATTATATATCATTCCTAGTAAATATTTGCACATCCAAATAATCCAATTGCTTATGGACCCCATAGTAATAACAGGGAATAGGCTAAAGTATTAGCACGAGTATTGACTGAAAAAGAAACAAGGAACATGATATGTTTCGACTACAGAGGATATGCTCCGAGACTCCAAGCTATGCTTCCCTCTAGTCCATTCAGTCCACTATCCTGTTAAGTGTTTAAATGTTTATAAAATGGATATTGTAATGTGTACGCATTTGTGAGTGTGAGATCAAAATTTATATATACACACACATATATACATTATAATATTAGTTCTTCAAATAGTTCCTTAACACAATGTCATTCAAAATTGAATTCAGGTACAGATACGACCAATGTCATTTCAATAAACTAATTCATTTGGAGCAGCGCAGATCTAGTAAGCCGTTCAAACTGCATGCCTCAGCCCTCAGGCCATATTCCATCCGCCATCATCTTATCACCGTCCTGATGATCTTGCTCCTCCACTACATTCTTCAGGAAGCAAACTACATCCAAGGGTAGCAGCAATGGCTCATTAAGCATGCACGTAACCCACCACGGCATCATAAGCAGTGTTGAATGTGCCAAGCCATGTACATAACTAACGGAAGCCACAATTGGGCTTATATCCAGTAGCTCGAGCACCCAGTTTTTGATGGTTCTTTGGCGGACACTTTTGTAATGCAACAGCCATTTTCGAACCACCCTTTCCTCTACTGGGCCCCTTACTGGTTGTGCCTCTTATCAGGCAGCACATAGTGGTGGTTTTTGAGGTCTCCTCATGGTGCTTTGAAACACACCTTTGTAATGCAACAGCCATTTTCGAACCTCCCTTTCCTCTAGTGGTGGTGCCTCTTATTAGGCAGCATATAGTGGTGGTTTTTGAGGTGTCCTCATCCTGATCCATAAAGACTACAACACCTGGCCATTTAATATATCGTGAGCTTAAAGAGTGAGTGTATGAATGTATATATATGTTCATATACATAGGGAAAGATATGATTAATGGAAAAGCGATGTAAAAAGAATAATGAAAATCAACCAATCAAATCATCTTGCTTCTTGAAATGGGCTTTGCCTTGTGCGTTTTCACCAAAGCCAGCATTGTTACCCGAACAAGAGAACTTCCGAGGATTGTCTTCAGACCCAGCTGCTGGTCTGGACGTGAATTTCATCCAGATGAAAAGCTAGATGAAAGGAGGCAGACGACCTAGCATGCCTGGAATGTAGTTTTCTCCAGAAATGGTACTGCTCACTCGGTCTATAGATTGTTCATTGGTGTTCTAGGTCGTATAGTTGGATAGAATCGAAACAATAAGACCGAAATAGCAATAGAAAGAAGCAGCGTTTAGTTCAGTTTACCAAAACATCCGACTCAAGGAAGAAGAAGAATGTTGTCAGCAAGAAATATTCACAGCGATAAAGTGAACAGAAGAAAGCAAAGAATAATCATGAAAGAACGGAGGGAGGGGTTGGAGAAGATGAGAGCTCAAAACATGACTTACCGGTCAGGAACTGCTCTGTTTATATAGACTGAAATTGCCGACTGGAATTCCTCATCACAGTTTCAGATTCTTCAAATTACAGTCAACGGTCAGCGCTGAATTGCGTAATCTACCTGAGATCCCTGTAATAGCATTCAATTTTAGGGATACTGCTGAAATTGCTGAGTGGAACTCCTCATCACAGCTATTCACGGTGTTCTTGCTAGCTGCACCTGAAATTGCTGAAATTGCGTAATCTACCTGAGATCACTCAGGATCATGTACAGCTAGCTATTCACGGTGTTCTTGCTACACCTGAAATTATCATAAAATATGGATTTTATGAACTTAAACGAGTTTTGATTGATGAAATGCGTTAAAATGATTTCCGCAAGAGGTTTGATTGATGAAATGCTTTAACATTTTAGGTGCTTGATTGATAATTTCAATCTAAGTAGCACGGAAACGCGAAACGGGAAACGGGAAACGTGAGAAACGTAATTTCTAAAAAGGTAGGATATGAAACGTAGGGGAACCGCATAAATATTATAAAATATAAGGATATATTTATAAATACTTTTTAATATATGTACACAAGTTTTTCAATATGCACATATTTTTTTTCATATAATTTGTTTAGTAACCAAATAATAAAATCACTCTACATGTTCGAATTTATATATTGTTTCATATTAGTACATAATTCAACATAAAATGTACCGAATAATACATTTCTTGCAATACATTGTGTTACGAAATGTAACTAAGTGTTGCTGCTGAGAAATACCACAAAAATTCACTATTTAAAAAAATTATTTTCCACCATAGAATCTTTAAAAAAGAAAAAAAATTGGAATCCGAGGTTTCCAAAATGTAGTGAAATGGGTTTCCAAATTTTTCTTAATTACGGAAACGGCCCCGAAACGGGAATTTGAAGTTTCCGTGTTTCCCAAACGCTACCAAGTTTCCGAAACGTGGAAACGTCAGCCGTGGAGAATTTCCGTGCTTCTTAGATTCCAATTATTGGAATGGTATATCAACACATTTTATCTTTTATGTCATTTATTGATAGTAGACGTATCTTTGATTCTCATATGGATAAAACTTTCAAAAAATATTATAATTGTTCTTGGTGTGTACAAAAAGTATATACTTTTTATACACTCGTTTGTGTACACATACAATTGTTGACTTTTTCTAGGCGAGTTAATGTATACACAATTAGGGGTGTGTACACAAAAAGTGTATTTGTGGTGTACCTCTAGTTTTTTCAAATAATATTTATAAAAATATGTCTTGAAATTACTATAGTATAACATCGAGTAGTTATACCGTGGAAGCAACACACACTGAGCACTAACCTCTCGCACCAAAAACGCGTGTGAGCAGTAACAACACACGTGAATACTAACTTTTTTGAATTATTTCAGTAGCAGAGTCGTGTAACTCGCGTTTAAAGAAATGTAACACACGTTGATGAGAAAAATGTAACTGCAGACAAGTTGAAATATAAGTTATATAATACAAGGTACAAAGTATAAGAAATGAAAATATAATGAAAAATGCAGTCTATTTGTCCAATTAATTTATCTAAATAGTTAATATGTTTTGTTTATAGTATCAGGACTATATAAAGTGACACTCCTCTGTATCATCATCATCATCACCCAGTGCCGCAAAGGCTCCCATCCTTCGGTGGGGTAAGAGAGGGTCGAATGTACGTAGTCTTACTCCTGTACTAAAGTACAAAGACTGTTTTCGGATGATCCATAGTGAAAATCACGACGAAAATTGCATGGACTGACCACTGCGTCATAACAAAGAAGCACAGACAGTTTAGTGAGTCATTTTGCTTTATTCCATGATTCCATCATATCTTTAAGCCAAAAAATAGTGAGTCCTTTGCTCCATTGCAAATGATGGAAACAAAGTGATACTCCGTATTAAATTATGTACGTAATGCCAGAGTAAACAAAGGAGTATTGTAAACCTTATGATTGCGCGTACTAAATTATGTACGTAATGCCAGAGTAAACAAAGGAGTATTGTAAACCTTATGAAGTTTTGACTTTCCTAAAGAAGGTTACATTTTCAAATTTCTTACCTTATTATTTGTTAGCTACAATTTTGTTCATATGTAAAAATAGTCACTATTTTAAAATGAACTTGGATTTAGTCATGCTTAAGAAAAAAACACCTTATAATTTATTTATACCGTGGGATCTTTACACCGCGCGCATGATGTGTCGGTGTACAGATCCCACTAACCATATAAAATACTATGTGCTTACACTCTTTTTTTCTTCCCTGCTGTACATCATTTTTCTTTTTCCTTGGCTTCTTCTTTATTTTTCTTTTCTTCAACTCTTGGCTTTTTCAATGAATATTATTAAATAAATTCAAAACACAAAAATATGACTTATTTTAAAATTTTCCTAACAAGTGAAATATTCAGTGACTAGTTTCAAATGACTCGTCACATGCTAGTGATTTGTCACTCCAAAAATGACTAGTCATTTTTTTGGTCCAAAAATGATAATTAGTCATATTTCTGTCCGGGGAAAGTCTGTTAATTAATAATATACATGTCATTTTTTCTAAATTCTTTTCTCGCTCTCCATCAAAATACTAAAAATTTAATTGTATTTTTTTTCATTATCTTCAACTTAAATTACACCTCAAACTATTTTTTTATTCTTCATCAATTCATAACAAAAAATATATTAGTCTAAATAAAATAATTGTATTGCATTTAATATTCATATTTATTTCATACTACTATTTTTTCAGTAATATTTTTTTTATTATTCAAATTATTTATAATAATTTTTTTTCATATTCATACACTTGTTTCTATAATATTTTTTTAATCTCATTTATACTATCCTCCGTTCTTTAATTCTTGCAACAGTTCAACTTTCACGTTTGCCAATGCATAACTTTGACTGTAATTATATTTAGTTACGTATTAGTAAACATTATAAAAACTTGATATTTTGGAAATTCACATTGATAGGAATTCAATAACATTTTATATGTAATAATTTGATTATGTATGTTAGTAGAACATCGTGATCAAAGTAAGATCTATGAATAGTGCAAAAAACACAATGTTACAAGAATTAAAGAACGAAGGAAATATTTTTAAATGGGTTTTAAGGCATTGAGTTTGTTTATAGTTATTTACATTTTACAAAACATGAGATTACGATCCTGTTTGATGTTACCGAAATCGGTTGAATCGGCTATTCTACTAAAATTTATGAAGTTCTGGCTGAAGTGGCTAGATTAGATGATTCTGCTGATTTTTGTGTGGAAGAAATAGGCTTAAATTGATATCACATCATTCAGGTAATGGGTAAAACGACAAAAAGACCACTGGCAACCGTCAGTCCTCGAACCAGATTTGGCGTTAATCACCTCAATAGAAGCAATATAACTCGTTAATTCATTACTGGGCTCAAATTCAATGAGCCAAAGACGATTAAACCAGACATTCTGTCACCCAAATCCAAATCCACAGTCTTACAACAAAAGAAAACACAAAGACGAAAGTAAGCAGTATGCTTCGAACAATTAAAAAACAGAAGCGCAAAGAAATAAAAATCTTGCTCCGTCTTGCAGAGCACCACCATCATCTACATACATGAACATCCCCTCTGTCTCAGATACTTCAGTTGGCCTAAGAATCGGAGTCCGCCTCTCCGCATCCGGATTCTCTATTTCCTGAGCTTCCCATATTCTCTGCGTTTTTGCTCCCCTGACACTTCCTCGGTACTTCCAAACTCCCCACCTTTTGTCGTGCTATGCCCGACGTGAATTTCTTCCAACCCCCTCCTGATCTACCCTCCGACTTGTTGTCCTCTTTGAGATAGTCTTCTACCTGAGCTAGATGACCCATCTACTAGCAACTTATTACCTCCTATAGGACTAGTCTTCACTAGTCTTCACCGCACCACCAACTCTAAGGTGCACCTCAAAAGTTTTGTCCAGTATCAGGTTATCCTCATATGTCAACGAATATAATTTATGAGAAGGACCAATAATACCATAAGTAAAGCAAAAATTGGGTAGCTTTTCATACTTAAATTTCACCTAGAGGCCAATCCCTCCTTTCTTGAGGGTTGTACATTTTTTCGGAGGTTTTTTCACATCCATACATACCCTGACTCGCAAATAAGCTTCCCATTTTACGTTGAATTGGTTTTCATCATAACTCACAAATTTACCAATAAAATTACCAATCTTCTAGTCGTGCCTATGTTCATGAAACTATAAGGAACATTATAAATCCACCCAAAATTCAGCTTCATTGAGATTGATCTTAAGCGGAATGTCCTTCGGCCTCACCTCTTTTAGAATAAACAGATTTTTTTCAAACAACCACTGACCGGCCTCTAAAGCACATTTCGTGTCCACAATATGATAGAAAGTAAAGAGATACCTTCTATTTCTTTAATCGACACACCTTTTACTGGACCCCACAACGAAGCCACAAGTTCTTCAAAAACCGGAAATTTGATTTTCCTCTCCGTCAGCAGAGCACCACAACTGGAAAGCTCAGTCGCGCCTCCTCCACTAGTGGTTCTTTGAACTCATTGTCATCCATCTTTTTGTATTGATTGACAATTGCTTCCATCAAATGCTGCCTACTCCGAAAATGATCGAAAAACTCAGCCGCACGACCTGGACTCCGCTCTTCTTCGCGATGGAGAAGACCTCTCCACTGCTGCCACCACTAGCCCCCAGTGCCCTGTGTCCTTTGCGACCACTTGCCTCCAATAGATGCTGCGAAATATCATATAACCGCCTTCGGCGGCCGCTCCTTGACTATGTTGATAACGGAGAAATGAACCCTAGCAGTGGAGAGCCACCCCGGAGAGAAGCGAATAGCTGATATTGCTGATTTATGAAAAAATTATACTTAAAATATTTTATAAATAAAATAAAGAAAAAATTATACTCCGGTTACTCCCTCCGTCACATAAAATTCTTCCCACTTTCATTTTTGGGCCGTCCCATAAAATTCTTCCCACTTATCATTTTTGGACAATTTGTGTGGTTCACATTCATTTCACCTTTTTCTTACACAACCACAACCATACATTTCCACTTTCTTAATCTCCGTGCCAAGTCAAACTAGGAAGAATTTTCTGGGACGGAGGGAGTATAAAATAGCTAAAATGGTCCTCTAAGGTAACTTCAGCCGATACACCCAGAAAAGTAACTTCAACCTTATTACATAATTCATTGCGCGAAAAAAAAAGTTACATATTTGATGAAAAAGTTGGCCGATAAGCTCGATAAGCCGAAAAACAATGTCACCAACGTGCTTTACATTTTCAGATGTGTGATTTACATTTCCATATGTGTGAGGTACATTTATACACGATTCCTTGAGTTACATTTGGTAATAC